AAAACGAAGGAAGCAAGAAGGGAAACAACCAGAAGATGGGATCGAGGATCGAGGTCTTCGAGCGCTTTGGGGGGGCATCTTTGCGCCCCTCGAGGCCCACAGAAGCCGCTGGGGGCTCCCGTGGATTTCTGGAGACCTCCGCGGACCTTCTGGGGAGGAGGCGGAGGGGGAGGAGGAGGAGGAGGAGGAGGAGGTGGAGCTGGAGGAGGAGGAGGAGGAAGACGAGGAGGAGGATGAGGATGAGGATGAGGATGAGGATGATGATGAGGATGAGGATGAGGATGATGATGTTGATGCTGCTGATGATGATGATGATGATGCTGATGATGATCAGAGTGAGGGGGCTGAACCGAACGGTCATTCACTGTCCCTGGGTGCGTGGCTGAAGTGGAATTCCGCGATGCGGACTCTGGTTGTTGTTGTTGTTGTTGTTGTTGTTGTTGTTGATATTTGTTGTTGTTTTGTTGTTGTTGTTGTTGACGTCCCACCCGCGACCCGCCCCGCGACCAAACCGCGACCCACCCCGCGACCCACCCGCGACCCACCGGCGACCCACCTGCGACCCACCCCGCGACCTACCCCGCGACCCACCCGCGACCCACTCGCGACCCACCCGCGACCCACCCCGCGACCCGCCCGCGACCCACCCCGAGACCCCCTGGCGATCCACCCGCGACCCACCGGCGACCCACCCGCGACCCACCCGCGACCCACTCCGCGACCCACCCGCGACCCACCCGCGACCCACCCGCGACCCACCGCGACCCACCCGCGACCCACCCGCGACCCACCCCGCGAACCACCCAAAATTTTCGGCGCCTGCGGCGGGCTTCTTTTGCATTCGTTCCAGGTCGTTCCAGGTGGAGACCTTGCGACCCACCCGCGACCCAAACAGCATTCAGTGTACAAGTCAAAATTTTCGGCGCCTGCGGCGGGCTGTTTCTGAATTCCTTCCAGGTGGAGGTGGAGAGCACGCGACCCACCCGCGACCCAAACTACGTTGATTGAACAAGCCAAAACTTCGGCGCCTGCGGCGGGTTTCTTTTGCATCGGCGACCCACCCGCGACCCCTCGGCGACCCACCCCGAGACCCACCCGCGACCCACCCCGCGACCCACCCGCGACCCACCTGCGACCTATCCGCGACGCACCGCGACCCACCCGCGACTCACCCCGCGACCCACCCAAAATTTTCGGCGCCAGCGGCGGGCTTCTTTTGCATTCGTTCCAGGTCGTTCCAGGTGGAGACCTTGCGACCCACCCGCGACCCAAACAGCATTCAGTGTACAAGTCGAAATTTTCGGCGCCTGCGGCGGGCTGTTTCTGAATTCCTTCCAGGTGGAGGTGGAGAGCACGCGACCCACCCGCGACCCAAACTACGTTCATTGAACAAGCCAAAACTTCGGCGCCTGCGGCGGATTTCTCTTGCATCGGCGACCCACCCGCGAACCATCGGCGACCCACCCCGAGACCCACCCGCGACCCACCCCGCGACCCACCCGCGACCCACCTGCGACCTATCCGCGACGCACCGCGACCCACCCGCGACCCACCCGCGACCCACCCCGCGACCCACCCAAAACTCTCGGCGCCTGCGGCGGGCTTCTTTTGCATTCGTTCCAGGCTCCTTTTGCATTCGTGGGCCACGAGGTCCGCCGGCTCGACGCCCGCGTCGCCCGCGCCCGCCCCCTCACTCTTATCCTCAATTTCGGGGTGCTATATAATGATGATCGTGCTGATGATGATGATGCTGCTGATGATGTTGCCGATGATGATGGTGAGGATGCCGCTGCAGATGATGATGATGATGATGATTATGATGATGATGATGATGATGATGATGATGGTGATGGTGATGGTGATGGTGATGATGATGCTGCTGATGATGCTGATGATGATGATGATGATGATGCTACTGCTGCTGATGATGATGATGATGATGATGATGAGGGTGACGGTGATGCTGATGATGATGATGCTGATGCTGATGCTGATGCTGATGCTGATGCTGATGCTGATGATGTTGATGATGCTGCTGCTGTTGTTGCTGCTGGTGATGATGGGAAGGTTGATGCTGATGATGATGCTGCGGATGATGCTGATTATGTTGATGATGATGATGATGATGATGCCGATGATGATGATGATGATGATGATGATGATGATGATGATGATGATGATGATGATGATGATGATGATGGATGGTGCTGATGATGCTGCTGCTGAAGATGATGATGCTGATGATGCTGATGCTGATGATGGCGATGATGATGATGATGATGCTGATGATGATGATGCTGATGATGATGCTGCTGCTGGATGATGATATGATGATGAATGATGATGATGATGATGATGATGATGATGATGATGATGATGATGATGATGATGATGGTGATGATGATGATGATGATGATGGGCTGATGCTGATGCTGATGCTGATGCTGATGATGATGATGGTGCTGATGTTGCTGATGATGATTATGATGATGATGCTGCTGCTGCTGCTGATGATGAATGATGATGATGATGATGATGATGATGATGATGATGATGATGATGATGATGATGATGATGATGATGCTGGTGATGATGCTGGTGCTGATGATGATGATTCGGAGGGGAGGAGGAGGCGGAGGAGGAGTAGGCGGCAGAGGAGGAGGAGGAGGAGGAGGAGGGGAGGAGGAGGAGGAGGAGGAGGATGAGGGGGAAAGGAGGAGGAGGAGAGGAGGAGAGGAGGAGGAAGGAGGAGGGGAGGGGAGAGGAGGGGGAAAGGAGGAGGAGGAGGAGGAGGAGGAGGAGGAGGAGGAGTATGAGGAGGATCAGGAGGAGTAGGAGGAGGAGAAGGAGGCGGAGGATCATGAGGAGGAGGATTGGATGAGGAGGATGAGGAGGATGCAGAGGAGGAGGATGAGGTGGAGTAGGAGCAGGATGATGCTGATGCTGATGATCAGGAGAAGGAGGAGGAGGAGGATGCCGCTGCTGCTGATGATGATGATGATTGTGCTACTGATGCGGATGCTGCTGATGATGATGATGCTGCTGCTGATGATGATGTTGATGATGATGGTGATGCTGATGCTGATGATACTGATGCTGATGCTGATGTTGATGCTGCTGATGCTGATGGTGATGCTGATGATGATGATGATGGCGATGATGATGATGATGCTGATGCTGATGCTGATGCTGACGCTGCTGATGATGATGATGATGATGATGAGGAGCGTGCTGATGATGCTGCTGCTGAAGCTGATGATGCTGAGGATGTTGATGATGCTGATGATGGCGATGCTGATGATGATGCTGATGATGATGATGATGCTGATGCTGATGATGATGATGAGGCTGATGCTGATTGTGATGTTGATGTTGATGATGATGTTGCTGATGATGATGATGATGGTGATGATGATGATGATGATGATGATGATGATGATGATGATGATGCTGTCGCTGCTACTGATGATGATGATGCTGATGATGATGATGATGATGATGATGATGATGATGATGATGATGATGATGCTGATGATGATGATAGGCGATAGCTGATTGTGATGTTGATGTTGATGATGATGTTGCTGATGATGATGATGATGGTTGATGATGATGAGATGATGATGGATGATGCTGTCGCTGCTACTGATGATGATGAATGCTGATGATGATGATGATGATGATGATGATGATGATGATGATGAATGATGATGGTGGTGGTGATGATGATGATGATGATGATGATGATGATGATGATATGATGATGATGATGATATGATGATGATGATGATGATGATGATGATGATGATGATATGATGCGGTGAGAAGGAAGAGGCGGATGAGGAGTAGGCGGCGGAGGAGGAGGAGTAAAGGACGAGAAGGAGGAGGAGGAGGAGGAGGTAGGAGGAGAAGGAGGAAGGAGGAAGATGGGGGTAGAGGAGGAAGAGGAGGAGGAGGAGTAGGAGGAGGAGGAGGAGGAAGGCGGAAGATCAGGAGGAGGAGAGAGGAGGAGGAGGAGGAGGAGGAGGATTGGATGAGGAGGATGAGGAGGATGAAGAGGAAGAGGAGGATGAGGAGGATGAGGAGGAGGAGGAGGAGGAGGAGGAGGAAGAGGCGGATGAGGATGAGCAGGAGGCGGAGGAGGTGGAGGAGGAGGAGGGAAAGGAGGAGGAGGAGAATGAGGAGGATCAGGAGGAGGAAGAGGAAGATGAGGAGGAGGAGGATGCCGCTGCTGCTGCTGATGATGCTGATGATGTTGCTGATGATGATGATGATGATGATGATGATGATGATGATGATGATGATGATGATGATGAGGGTGATGATGCTGATGATGCTGATGATGCTGATGATGCTGATGATGACGATGCTGATGCTGCTGATGATGATGCTGATCATGCTCTTGATGATGAGGGTGATGCAGATGCTGATGATGATGCTGCTGAGGCTGCTGATGTAGATGCTGATATTGATGACGATGATGCTGATGCTGCTGACGATGGTGATGATGATGATACTGCTGACGATGCTGATGATGCTGATGTTGGTGATGCTGATGATGATGGTGATGACCACGACGACGATGACGATTATGATGACGGTGATGATGATGCTGAGAATGATGCTGCTCATGATGATGACGATGCTGCTGCTGATGATGATGCTGATCATGATGATGACGCTGATGATGATGATGCTGATGACGATGATGATGATGATGATGATGATGATGATGATGATGATGATGATGATGATGATGATGATGATAATGATTATGATGAGGATGATGCTGATGATGATGAGGATGAGGATGAGGATGAGGATGAGGATGATGAATGATGATGATGATGATGATGATGATGATGATGATGATGGGTGGTGATGCTGATGATGCTGCTGCTGCTGATGATGATGATGATGATGATGATGATGATGATGATGATGATGATGATGGTGATGCTGATGCTGCTGATGCTGCTGATGATGCTGCTGTTGCTGAT